GGGTCCAATACATCCCTTTTTATTTGTTCATATTTTTATATTGACTTATACAATTGTGTGTTATGTAAATAATATGTCTGTCTTTTAAGCCGAGACCTGCCGGAAAAGATTTCCTTGTGCTATGCATAATGACAATAAAGATTCTTGACTTTTGACTATTAATAAGAGGGTTGACTGGGAATAAATGGTAATGTCTTACATTTTTCACATGTACTCCTAAAAATGTTCTAACATGTAGTTTTACTTTATATTCTATACAGGAGGCGCCCTTCCACTGGCTTCCATTCGCTTGATGGCCTCCCCTCTGCAGCTGACATACTCGTACATATGGCAGGTCATACGGCAGCGAAACGTGAAGCAGTATGGGAAAGTAGAGGAATTTGTGACCATGGTGATGCAGACTGTTCCTGAGATCATGAGTTTCAAACAGACTGCCCAGCTCCTCTTAGGGTTGAGGGCAAGGGTGAGTGTTTGTTTTCATCTATTGTCTGTGAAAATAAGTAGAGTCAAACTTTTGTAAGCATAAGAGAGTAAAATGTATTTAAATTCATTAAGAGGTGAAAAAACTCAGTGATCCATAATTGCAAAGATGAAGACCTTATGTCATGTGCAAGAAGCTATCAGTTTCTTAAAGCTTCACATCCCTCGAGCACGAGTCTTTAGGCTTCTAAAGTGGCTTTCATTCCACCAGATTTGTTCCTTAAGGTCTGAACGCCGAGGCGGTTGCTCACACTGCTCTGTGCTGATTAATGCCATATCTTTTCTATTAGAAATCACGAACACCAAGAACAAAAACAACATTTGGCTTTATGGCTTTCCTCCCCCTATCTTGCAGGGAAGTTGGAGTCTTCATTATCTGTTTCTTCTTGTACTGTAGATCATTTTGGACTTCCTTCAGAAAGAAGGACCACCTGATTCCCGGGCTATTCAGACTCTTATAAATAGATTGAAGGTGTCTGTATCTTCAGGGGTAAGAATGCAAACTTTTTTTTCTGAGAAGCATCTAGTTGCATCAACCTGAAGTATTTATGATAGATTTAAATGTATGGATTACTTTCAGTATTTCCTTTGTTACAGAAAGACTTAGAGGTTGAGAAATCACAAACAAACTTCATGGTGCTGGTCCAGAATCTGCTTAAAAACCCTGCTGAGAGGAAGCATTTCTTCCAGGTATCCACATCTGCCTTAATGTGTTATGCAGAGTCATTGGTTGTCATCACACAAAGCCTTGGTGGTGTTTTTGTTGTTTTTAAAAGAAACTCTTGCCACTCATTTAGATGTAGTGACAGCTTTGTGGATGAACTTGAATATGGCAGCCTTTTGTTGCTTCTAATGTTGATAGTATAGCAGATATCACAGCACAGCTACTGTCATAAACCTCTGTTTTTGTTCATTTATCTGCAGCTCAGCAGTTTGGCAGTGATATCACGTGGTGTTATAGCTGTGGTCAGATTTTGTGTAAATGAGAACAACTACTTTATATTGTGAATTCAGGTGCATGTGGAGATACAACGTAGTAAATCCATACATCCTTCTGTCTGCACAAAGTGTTGGGCTCTCACGATTGCACTGTCACATCAATCATATTTCTGTCTCTGCAGGAAGTGTTCCCAGTTCAGTACGGCACAAAGTTTGACACAGCTCTGCAGACTCTGACCGCAGGCCTGGTGTGCAAACTGGAGCAACTTCTTCCTGTTCCCAATCTCTCCCAGGTATGTGCTCTACATGTCAAATCACTGGATTTTCACAGCAGGGTGGGCTACTGGTTCAGATCAAAACGTGTTTGGTTGACCCTGGTGTCAAAGCAAATGTCCTAAAGCAAGCCATGGAGTTTCTCCAAGATCGTTGGGTGTTTTGTAGTCGGTCTTTATCGATGAGCCAAAGCAAACCAAGTTCTCCTATAAATGATCAATAATACACTATGTGGCTGCATTTTTATGGGATCTGCAAGAGTCACTAAATTAAATTCCAAATTTCTGTAGACATTATAGGCCTTGTTGGGAATTAGAATCACACCAATCTAATATGTAGGTGAAAATTTAAATATCTTTAAATTCATTAAAATAAAGTAAGAATTCAATGTAAAGACTGTATGACAGGACCAATTTGAGGCATCTTTAAGGCCAGACTTAAAGGCATCTACATAACTGAAGAAATGTTTTACCTTTTCAGGATCTGGATAAGAGGTTTTATTTTGGTTACATTATATTTTTAACAACAGCCTAAGTACCCTGTTACAATAAGCCATATAAATAGCAGAGAAAACCATCTTGAGGTGATGATTAGACCATAAAGACATAAAAAACATGATCCAGCTTAAGAGGTAAAATGAAATTGGCAGTGCAGAGCCATCAATTGTCTTGCCTCTCATTCTCAGCTTGGTGCCATGATCTCAATGGAGCCCACTGTCCTGGAGGCGTGTGGAGGTTTCATCCCTGATCCCGGGGACCTAAAGACTCTACTCCTACACCAGCAGGCCAAAGGACTCCTTGGTGTTAAAGGTATGCTTCATGGTGTATATATATATATATATA